GTTTTTCCAGCTACCTTCAAAGAAGCCAAGGTTACACCACTTCAGAAAAAGGACTCAAGAAATGAAAGAGGCAACTATCGCCCTATACCTGTCTTGCCTATACTGTCTAACCCTCTGGAACGACATGTAGCACCAGCGTATCTTCTAAGAATCAATCTGCTTACCGCGCCCACCATTCTTGTGAAACTGCACTACTGAACATCTCCGACAAATGGCTAAAGGCTATGGACAATAGTGATCTAGTAGGAACAGTTTTCCTAGATCTCAGTAAGGCCTTTGATTTAGTAAGTCACGATATCCTCATAGCAAAGCTTGCAAAGTATCACACTAGACAAGTCTGCTCAGTCTCTAGCGTTCCTTCCAATCCCGCAAGGCTAGACAGAGGAGTCCCACGGGGTTCAATTATAGGCCCTCACCTCTTTTCTGTCTATATGAACGATTTGCCTCTTTTGCTGGAAGAAACTGAAGTGGACATCTATTCTGACGATACAACTTTTTGGTCAAGTGGAGCTACCTGCACTGAAATACAACAAACTTTAAATGAGGATCCAAGCATAGCAAACAGCTGGTATAAACTCAGTGATCATGAAATGCAACCTAACATAAAAAAGACCAAGCACTTACTCATTTGTTCTGCTAAGAAGCTCTAGCACAGCGAAAAAACTACATTAGAACTTTCCATTGGCAATACAAGACTGGAGCAATCAGTAGGAGAAAAGCTCCGTGGTGTCGTCTTTGATCTTAACTTCTCGTGGGACTTACATGTTGACTATCTAATAAAAAAGCTGACCTCTGGAATATGCCTCCTCAAGAGAGCAAGAACCTATTTAACTATTGAATGGAGAAAAATTTTATTCAACGCCCTTATTAGAGTGGTTTTCGTTTGAGTGTCGTAAAACTAAAACCAAAGTAATTACTCTGGCCAATTACATAGGACACAGACAATACATTGAACCAATCAAAACTCGAAGTAATTACATGTGGCTGACGCAAAGCGCGGGAAAATCGTGCGAGCGCGTCACAATTGGCTTTGGTCTTACTTCTGATTGGATGAAAAGGTGGCGCGAATCTTTTAAGCCAATCGCATCGTGTAGAAAGTGCAAAACCAATTACTTTTCGACACTCAAATGAAAATTGCTCTAAGCCAATTCTTGAGTACTGTTGCACCGTTTTGGGCAGCTGTTCTGTTGCTAACCTTGAAAGGTTATTACAACTACAAAAACGATGTGCGAGATTAATTTTGGACGCCACCAAATGATAGCTCCGTTGAACTTTTTGATCAGTTAGGTTGGCTGCCTATAGATGACATTATACGCGTTAGAAAACTCGTCCTGCTACATAAAGTAAGCCAGGGTCACTGTCCTGAACATTTTACTTCATACTTTAAACATGTCAGGTCTACAATAATAATAATACTAATACTAATAATAATAATAATAATAATAATAATAATAATAATAATAATAATAATAATAATAATAATAATAATAATAATAATAAGAAGAATATAAGAATAAACCTGACTACCCCAGGGGGACGCTTTGTGTCCTAGACTGTTTACACTGTGCCTGAACCCTGTAGCGTGGCGCCTGCGGGCAACAGAGGGATACCGGTTATCCAAGCCTATAGGAGTCAAAGTCACCGATCTCCTGTATATAGACGACCTCAAGGTTTTTGCTGCCTCCGAGAGCAACCTGAACCGAGTGCTGAAACAGACTAGAGGAAGGATGCAGGACATCGGCCTCCACTGGAATCAGAAAAAGTGCTCAGTGGTACACGTGAAGAGGGGAGCCCAAGTGCTAGACGAGTCTGGTATGAGGATGGACGAGACAACTACCATCACGGCTCTTGGGGAAGGAAAACACTACAAATTCCTGGGGGTGCTAGAGAACGTTCGACAGGATGAACGGCTGGCCCTAGCTTGCGCGGCTAAAGAGTATCTACGCAGGATATCTATTATATGGTCCAGCCCCCTGTCTGATTGTAACCGTGTGCAGGCAACTAATCAGTATGCACTCCCGGTCCTGCGGTACCTAATGTGGACACAGCATTGGCCTCTATCAGAGTTAAGAGATGTGGACAGAGCAGCTCGGAAGATCATAGTTGAGAACGGTGGCAAGCACCCAGCTAGCCTGACTTCTTTGTTATATCTAGCGAGGGAGAAAGGGGGTAGAGGCCTGCGATCAGTCGAACACGAGTACAAGATCACTAAAATCAAATCGCTACTGAAATTGTATCAGAACCCGGACCAGACTGTGGAAGCAGTTAGAGAATTTGAAGAACACGCCATGGCATCAGGCCACCAGTCGCTCGTAAAGGAAGCAGCTAAGTACGCTGAAGAACTCAACATCACACTTCAGCTTGATACCCTAAATCCCGTGTGTGTTACAACAGAAGGAAAGGTGGTAACTGCAGCAAGAGCTGGGAATCTGTTGAAGCAATCTCAAGAGAAGCAGTTCTTGGAGATCGCTAAAGACAAAAAGTGGCAAGGAAAGTTATTCCGTATCAGATGGGAAGATGAGAGCCTAAGCATAACCAGCTGCTTTGCATGGTTAAAAGGTTGGGCTACATGCCCTACACATACCATCGCGGGCATGTATGAATTGTATGAGCAGTTGTTACCTACGAAGCTCTACACAAAGGAGAAGACGCAAACCTCCACCGACGGCGAAGTTCTATGCAGGTTATGTGGGAAGGTAGCTGAGAGCGTTGCACATGTTCTGGCTGGATGTTCCTCCCTGGCACAAACCAAGTACCTATACAGGCATAATGCAGCTTTGAAGATTCTGTTTTTTGAGCTCCTGCGAGAGCATGGGTTAATGGAAGAGGTTCCACCATGGTACTCACCGGTGATGCCAAAACCAGCCTACCAGAACACCACGAGTGAGGCGTTTTGGGATATTCCCATCTATGCAGAGCACCACGAAGTTAGAGCAAATCGGATCGACGCGCGACTTGTCAGCCACGAGAGGAAAGAAGTCTGCACAATTGAAATGAGCTGCCCATGGATTGAGAGTAGAGCTAAGAAAGATGAGGAAAAGACACTCAAGTATGGGCCCATGATGTGGGAGCTGAAGCAGAGATACAATGGTTACAGGGTTGAACAGTACAACGTAATAATTGACGTACTGGGGGGTTACTCTAAACACCTAGAGAAGTCGGTGAGGAAGCTACTTGGAGCGAGAGCACGGAGCGTACTTGAGCGGATGCAGAAGTCGGTCATCTCAAACACTTTAAACATTGCCAGAACATTTAAGATAAATACTTAGTTAGGGCGCTATGGACTTCAGTTTTTAGGTTTTTGTTTTTTCTCTAGAAATCTAGAAACACAAGCTTGCTGACGTTTTTACTTAGATTTTTTAGAACATTAGAGTTTGATATTATTATAAATAAGTTTTTGTAGAGATAGCGAAGGTTTTACAGAGTATCAGAATTTAATAATATTCTAAATTGGCTTTTTTAGTAGAGAGATTTATATCACTATGTATAAGCTTTTAGTAGAGATAGCGAAAGGTTTACGGAGTATCAGAATTTAATAATATTCTAAATTGGCTTTTTAAGTAGAGAGATTCATATCACTATGTATTTTAGGATTGTATTAGGTTTCGTATCGACCTTTTTTTACTTCTAAGTATAGCTTCTCAAGTGGTGTAGGTTACGCTATGCGCCCTATACTACTCATAATGTGGACAGCATTCCAAAGTTTCATACTGCGACATAATAATAATAATAATAATAATAATCATAATCGTAATCATAATCATAATAATCATAATCATAATCATAATCATAATGGAATTTACATAGCGCTTATACATCGCTGTTCTAAGCGCTACATGGTTATCGTACCAGATCTGCTATATACAGTGACGTTCTAACACCTTCATGTAAAAGAAACTCGGGGCTTAAAACTTTCCATTCAAGTGCATGTCGTCTATGGAATAATTTGGATAACTCCTACAGAAACATTAGGTCCCATACAAATTTCAGGAAAATGCTACAGAACCTTCTTGTCAAGGAAAACTCGTCATTAGACCATTTTAACACGACTAGGACTTTTTAAGAATTTCAAATTTGTGTATTTTAAAAGTTTTAGAGTATTTTAATATTACTAAGCCTTTTTTAAAAGAATCTTTGAGAATCTTAAAAATCTTAAAAATGAGTAGGATCTTTTAGAATTAGTATGATGTTTCTAGTTTTTATTACAATTTTTCTTTTTTAAGGGCGATTGTGAAAACTACCGGGCCACCGGCAATTAATGTACTCCACCCTCAGTAAATAAAGTTTTTTTCTTTCTTACTTAACTTGACCAAAACCTGAAAAAGCGCATGAAAAGCCTGTGGTACCCAGGCCCCACGGTAGTTCTCTGCTAAATGGCAGATCATTCCTACTCTTTCATCACCTGAAATCTTGGAATTCAACTCTTTTTTTTTGTCCCGAAGCCTGAAAAGTGTTAGTACTCTTTTTCAGGGGCGGATATGGGGGAGGGTGCAGCGGTGCGCACCCCCCCCTTGAGATGACCTGCGGTTTTCTTATACAACTGGTATTCTGCGAAAAAAAAAACTATGTGGTTTATTCGTGTTGAAGTAGAACAAGAGACGAGTGCACCCCCTCCTAAAAAAAATCCTGGATCCGCCCCTGCTTTTTGGGTGGAGCCTCCCTGCATAGGCCATTATAGGGAGTACTCACCCACCTCCGAGATTTTTTCCGCTTTCAGATCTAAAACGTTTGGCACCAGATGTAAACAAGCGATGGACATTACAAAACAACAACAACAACAACAACAACAAAACAATAAGGCTCCTCAAGCCTGGTTTTCTTTCACTCGTCCATAAGACCTTTTTTTGTAGGGTTCATTGTGTACGACCATAAATCAAAAAGCGGGGGATAATGTGTATGCAAAATTATTTAAATATTATGTACTAGAGAAAAGAAAAAACTCAAACACACACACTCTCTAAGAAAACTGTTTTATTCTTGGCCTCAGCTAAAAATGAAAATCAACTGCAAGATTTTTTAAGCTCTTCCACTTTTGCGATGTAGGCAGCCTCAGCATCTTCCTTGCTCATACCTGAGAAAACAAGAAAGAAAACAATCCCCTTTATTTAATTTTTTTTATAATGATGATGATGATGATGATGATGACGATGATAATAATAATAATAAGAAGAAAAAATAAGAGTAATGTAATGAAAATGAAATGCATATGTGTGACCTATGTTATGATTTGAGAAAGACTCTCCTAGTCAAAACCCTACAATAAAACCTCTTGTAAACAACCACCTTTCAAAGGCTATCGCAACAACTTTTTGGCCAGTTGGTTTTATAGTTCCTCACTGTTTTTCAAAACTCTTGCAAGTGCCACTTGACCCATGGTGTGGTCTCCTTGTTTGCTTTATGTAAAGCTCCGCTCAGAGTATACGAAAAACTTTCAGTAACAAACATAAACTAAAAAAAATATATTCTGTGCCAAAAAGTAGATGTGTCGGAACCTATTTACGGAAGAGATCCCCTGCAGTTTGATCCTCATAAGTGACCACCTATTGTAAGCAACCACTAAATCTTCACATCTTGAGTGGCTCCTTATGGGAGGTTCAACAGATTATTAAACATACAATCAGAAGTATAGTTAGCTCACTGAGGTAAACAAAACAGTTAATCTTACTTTCTACAACTTGGTCTGGGGCCTGTTGCATAGTTTTAAAACAAACAAAACTGCTAATTAACAATTATTCCTCGCGCCCGAATGGGCTATTGACTCGGAGGTCATGAGGGCGAGAGGAATAATAATATTGTTTTAGTGAAATCCGACTAGTTGGTCAAAAATATCGAGAATAAAAACATTTTAGCTAGTTAAAGCTAGACTTGAATCCCTTTTTGCCACCAAAAAGCGCGCGCTTTTCGCTACTAGTAGGCTATAACAAAAGTACATGTATAGCCTAGTAGTAGCTCAACCAATCAGAAGGGAGCATTGATAATAGACCACTAGTTGGACTTTACTAATATCTGATAGCCCTGTCAAACTCTGTATTTTAACAGTAGACAGAGGATGTTAGGACAGACATCAAGTTTCATGCGGTAACTGCTCTCAGAAGCTACAAGAACAATAATATTAGAGAGATTAAAATTCACGTTTATGCCAAACGTGAATTTATACCAGGTGACCATGCTTTTCTCTTTATTGTCATTTTAACAGTTATTACTTCAACTAAAAAATAAGTAGTTTCATGACAGTTTTACACATAAGAATTGTTCTGGACAATTTTCATCTGCTTATTTTCTATTCTGAGAAATTCTCAACTTGAATCTGACATTTGCCATTTTAAGTCAAATGGCAAACGTGAATCTTAATCTCTCTATTGGGACTTGCTTTGGTGGTGTAAAGCTTTCAGGCATTTGAAGTAATAAAATCATTCCAGTTTACATTTTTAATATTACCTTTCTTTCCATTCCAGGCATCCCATTTTGCTTTTCCAGCAAAATCTAACATTCCACTAGGTCTATCTGTGGAAAGGACATAATCCCATTGTTTGAGAAATGAAATTGTAAATGAGAGTTTTTGTGCATTAAAAGCTGGTCATTTGTCTCCCGATAGCTAGTCACTTTGTTACAAATCTCATTGTTTCAACCTTGTACTGCTGTTCTTGAGCAGCTCAATTTAACCAGTGGGGCAAATGTAACACTGTGACTGCATTTAACAATCCTCTCTCAAGGTTGGTGGGCTTTAATCCAAAGCACTGCTGTCATTGTCAGGGATGTATGGTAGCTAAGGATAAGATAAGCAGGCTTTTTTATTAGTCAAGCCAGCTTTTTTACTCAACTGCATCTTCAAAATTACCCTTTGTCTTTGTTTTGCAGAGCAATTTGAGCCTGTGGTAAGCTCTTTTTCAGCCGGTGAAATTAGCTGGCAGCTTGCGACATCCCTGGTGAACAGCTGACATTTCATGATGCCACCACTGGCTTCCTCGCCAAATGATGTCAGGGAAACGAGTGCAGAAATTCCATACTGATGAGGCGTCATTACCCAGATCTGGGTAGTGCATCTGATTGGCTTAAAATTTGCTTTAACCAATCAGAAGCACTAACCAGATCTAGATAGTGACGCCTTATGATTATCAGCATGGAATTTCTGCACTCTTTTCTCAGACATCATTCTGTGGAGAAACCAGTGGTGACGTAGGGAAATGTTGGCAGTTTTCTGCGGCAAAGTCATTCACCACTTTAGAATCGAGAAGGAAACTGGCCTCAGTTAGCTTTTGCAAAGACTTCTGGTCTGTTACTAGGGATGCACCAGTCAGCTATTGGCCAATTTTTCTTCTCTGTCTCCACTAACAGTCCCAGAAGTCTTTGCAAGGGTTAACTCGCCCCAGTTTCCTTCTCGATTCTACAGCGGCAAATTGTTAGTGCAGTGAGAAACGTTCCCTTAGCAGTCCATACCGGGATGAATAATGGGTGCATTTTAAGAGGAAAATCCAAATCCAGATATTTCTGAATCCAAAAATGGATCAAGAGTTCATTAAGTCCACACTTTAAGTGGATACTTCAGATCAAATCCAAATCCTAACTGAGCCTATGTTAGTGTTGCCATTTTGCCATTAGTATTAGTTACAAATCATTAATTCCATGCTTCTCATCTTTTTATATTCGTAGGTTTTAAAGCCCGAGTTGTCATTTTTTGATACTTATGTAGCGTCTGCTCAAGTTTATTCAGTCTATGTAATAAATTACCAATCACTTTCATCTGCTTTATTATTTAGTTCTTATAATTACATGTATATTGTTCACCATTCTAATATATATACACTGACCCTATTTGACTAATAATTGGCCCGAGACGAAGTGTATATTTTGTATATTTACAAGTGTATATTTTGTATATATACGTGTCTCCTATCACTTTTTAGGTGGCAAAGAAGATCACAGACCAGTTTTTGGATTCTCCCAAAAAGTGCACCCAATAACTTTAAGAGGCAACTTTCTTGATCAAACATTCTCTTCATTATTGATTTTTGCCTAAGAAAACAGCTGATGTTTATTTTCGCAATGCTACTGCTGGTTTCTCTGCAAAATGATGTCTGAGAAAAGAATGCATTAAGTCAATACTAACGACAGGTCTCTTTACTATGGGTAACGCTTCTAATAATTGACTAATAATTTATTAGTTGAAGCAAATTTTCAACCAATCAGAAGCACTACCAGATCTAAGTACATGTAGTTACGTGTCATCAGTATGGAATTTCTACACTAGTTTCTCATGGAGGTCATGAGGGCGAGAGGAATAATAATATTGTTTTAGTGAAATCCGACTAGTTGGTCAAAAATATCGAGAATAAAAACATTTTAGCTAGTTAAAGCTAGACTTGAATCCCTTTTTGCCACCAAAAAGCACGCGCTTTTCGCTACTAGTAGGCTATAACAAAAGTACATGTATAGCCTAGTAGTAGCTCAACCAATCAGAAGGGAGCATTGATAATAGACCACTAGTTGGATTTTACTAATATCTGATAGCCCTGTCAAACTCTGTATTTTAACAGTAGACAGAGGATGTTAGGACAGACATCAAGTTTCATGCAGTAACTGCTCTCAGAAGCTACAAGAACAATAATATTAGAGAGATTAAAATTCACGTTTATGCCAAACGTGAATTTATACCAGGTGACCATGCTTTTCTCTTAATTGTCATTTTAACAGTTATTACTTCAACTAAAAAATAAGTAGTTTCATGACAGTTTTACACATAAGAATTGTTCTGGACAGTTTTCATCTGCTTATTTTCTATTCTGAGAAATTCTCAACTTGAATCTGACATTTGCCATTTTAAGCCAAATGGCAAACATGAATCTTAATCTTTCTATTGGGACTTGCTTTGGTGGTGTAAAGCTTTTAGGCATTTGAAGTAATAAAATCATTCCAGTTTACATTTTTAATATTACCTTTCTTTCCATTCCAGGCATCCCATTTTGCTTTTCCGGCAAAATCTAACATTCCACTAGGTCTATCTGTGGAAAGGACATAATCCCATTGTTTGAGAAATAAAATTGTAAATGAGAGTTTTTGTGCATTAAAAGCTGGTCATTTGTATCCCGATAGCTAGTCACTTTGTTACAAATCTCATTGTTTCAACCTTGTACTGCTGTTCTTGAGCAGCTCAATTTAACCAGTGGGGCAAATGTAACACTGTGACTGCATTTAACAACCCTCTCTCAAGGTTGGTGGGCTTTGATCCAAAGCACTGCTGTCATTGTCAGGGATGTACAGTAGCTAAGGATAAGATAAGCAGGCTTTTTTATTAGTCAAGCCAGCTTTTTTACTCAACTGCATCTTCAAAATTACCCTTTGTCTTTGTTTTGCAGAGCAATTTGAGCCTGTGGTAAGCTCTTTTCAGCCGGTGAAATTAGCTGGCAGCTGGCTCTTAACGACATCCCTGGTGAACAGCTGACATTTCATGATGCCACCACTGGCTTCCTCGCCAAATGACATCAGAGAAACGAGAGCAGAAATTCCATACTGATGAGGCGTCATTACCCAGATCTGGGTAGTGCATCTGATTGGCTTAAAATTTGCTTCAACCAATCAGAAGCACTAACCAGATCTGGATAGTGAGGCCTTATTATTATCAGTATGGACTTTCTGCACTCTCTTCTCAGACATAATTCTGTGGAGAAACCAGTGGTGATGTAGCGAAATGTTGGCAGTTTTCTGCGGCAAAGTCATTCACCACTTTAGAATCGAGAAGGAAACTGGTCTCAGTTAGCTTTCGCAAAGACTTCTGGTCTGTTACTAGGGATGCACCAGTCAGCTATTGGCCAATTTTTCTTCTCTGTCTCCACTAACAGTCCCAGAAGTCTTTGCAAGGGTTAACTCTTGGGTAACGCTTCTAATAATTGACTAATAATTTATTAGTTGAAGCAAATTTTCAACCAATCAGAAGCACTACCAGATCTAAGTACATGTAGTTACGTGTCATCAGTATGGAATTTCTACACTAGTTTCTCAGATGTCATTTTGCAGAGGAAAGAAGTGGTGGTGTCACAAGATGTTGGCTGTTTTATCATGCTACAAGTATATAGATTTTAATTCAAAAATGATATTGCTTGTCCACTTGGACAGAGAGGGTAAGGGAGAGAGCAATATTTTCCTGCAGAAAACAATGTAACTTGTCTACATTGACAGTTGTCAGTGTCAGCTGAAAAGTGCAACTCTTTTCAGTTTTCCCCACCCATAAACCCTACCCCTGGCACAAAAATGTTCTTCATTCAGGATAAGGCAGGACCTGGTCATTCAAAATTTAGGTGATGCTATCCACATGATAAATCTCTAGTTATTTATTATTTACATGGGCAAACCAGTTGGTTCATGGTTTGGGTAAAATATAATGGTAAGCAAAATTCAGGATAGGTAATTTTGCCCTGGAATCGTGTTTACCATTTGTTCTAATTTGTTCAATTTACCAAAAAACACACTCGCAAAGCCTGAAACAGGTCTGAATCAGGCCTCACAACAAAAATTGAACTTGATCGTGGAGATGGCATAACAGAAGCAAAACTGAGATGTTATTCGCCTCAATAATTATCTATGCAACACGTTCTAGTAAGTGAAATATTATATATTTTAAAGCCACTTTAAATCAGTTCAAGTCCGTAGACCGAAGTCCAAGGTCCACAATTGACATTTCTGAAGTAAATTTACTGCCTAAAGCTAAACGCATGAGCTTAAAATCGTGTAAATTTGAACAGTTCCTTTACATAAATTTCAAAGCTAATAAACGACTCTACTCAGCACTTTATGCACTACATCGTGATTATGAATTTGATCTTTTTACAGAAGATTCTCAACGTTTCAGAGTGTGGTATCGAGTGGTAGTAAGACAAGGATTAGCTCAAGAGGCAGGGATGACAAATCTGTGCTTTTTCTTGTGTAACAAAAAAACAATATCATAATAATTTTACCTGTATTGCAGTCTCCCACGGTAGCTTGCTTGTATAAAGAATAAACCTCTAATTTGTCAGGATCACTCGGTTCTTTAGTCAATTTCTTGACCTCGTCAGCGGCCTTCAGAAATGCCTGATATGCACGACATTACATCAACTTAAAAAGGAATAAAAAAAACAACAAAAACAACAAAAAACAATCGGTTGACTACAGGGAACTTTAACAGATACAAGCTGTGTACCTCAGACATTACAAAGATGGTTCACTCGATATAATTCCGTAAAATTTGCAGAATACGCCTCTTGTGCAAGAATCAAGATCACGGCGGGACAACGAACTTAGACGGGAAGGAATGGGTCGAGCTTGCCCGCAAACCGGAAGAGAAAAGTCATTTCAGTTGTATTACACTTCCGGAATAGCCAAGGCGCGGGAAAAAATACGGTAAAACTCCGAGAAATTAATAAATAAATAAATAAATAAATAAATAAATAAATAAATAAATAAATAAATAAATAAAGCCCTTCCGAAAGTAAACCCCTAAAATTTGAAAAGAAAAAAGCCTCCTAATTTGCCTCATCACCGAATAAAAGCACAAATGTCCAGGGCTGGCCAAAAGATCCCTACTATCTTCTACACTTCTCAGAGGTGTGGAAGTGTTCAATAGTCTGACAGACTGAGGATATTGTGAGTCACACTTTTACCTAGTCACGAAACCCTTGTCATTCTTTACTGAACACCTGTCCGATAAGTGACTCTTTACTTTAGAGATCGACACGGCTCAGCTTCGCTCCGTTTACAGAAATCGCGCCGCTACAACCCTTCATTAGTATGGTTTAAAAAACCGTTCAAAATTATTCTGGGGTATTTCCGACCTTGGAAATACAATTCACGGGGCAGGGAAGTAATAAGGGCTGCTGTTTATCTCCCAAAATCAAAGTAAAGAGTAGTTTATCGGTACTTAATTCGTAAGTCTTTAATTTCGTATTTTTTCAAAAATCGCAAAACTAAGGGGCTCTTTACATGGAGGGAGGAAGATCCTAGTACCATGAAGATCCTAGAAGGCTACGTTGGGTTTAAATGCAGAAACTTGGGTTCGTGTGGTACACAAAAGTACAATGTTTGAGAAGGAATTAAACATGGCGGGCGACAAAAACAAACATGCAATTTGGGCCCTTCTGCTCTCTTTACTGGCGTCAACAACTACCTTTCAGCGAAATTATCACAATAATCAGCTCGTGGCAACGCCAAACGAAATGGTAAGCCTTTATTGCCGTGATTAGCCACTGAACGACCCGCCACTATTTTTGTATGTTTTTTCCCTGGTACTAGCTAAGATCTTCCTAGCGAAGGCAATTTACATGGTGCTAGGATCCTCTTAGTACTGGGATCTTCCTACCTCTCAGCTAGGAAGATCCTAGTTCTACGAAGATGCCAGCCCTAGGAACAAGTACAACCCTTTGCATGTAAACCGAATACAGAAAACATATGGCGCTAGGATAATCAGTAGGCTGCATGTGCAGTGCATGATTACCAATCCATTCCACCCCACCTTCCGCTATGAAAAAAAAAAGACCAAAAGAATGAAACTATAAAGGGGCAGCGTGATCGTTGTCGTTTTTGTGGGAGGTGGTTATGGAGGGGGGTGACGTTGAGGTTAACGTAAGAATGAAGGAAATATTGGGAAACCGTTATACTAAAAAAAAAACAAGTTATTGTAAACTAAGTTTTCTTTGCGATAGAGGACTATGTGGTGTTTGTCTACCAATTTTTTCTTTCCAGAATCTCAAAAACAGTATCGACGTTATTATTCGAGTATTTTTCCAATTTTTCACAGCTATTAACACCTCCTCCAACCCTGCACCTCACAACAAAACAGGTATTTTGATTTGAAGCACATAAATTAAGCAACATTTTTTTGTAACAAGTCAAGAGGCACAAGTCAAGATGTACATATTTAAAGACAATTTACAAAAAAATTTAAAAGACAATTGCAAATTGTACATATTTAAAGATGAATGTTAAACGAAAAGAAGTATTTTCGTGATTTACATTTCTTTTTTTATTGCACTTTGCATGCGCTATATAGTAAGTGCTGAACCTAAGTCTTTTTTTAATTATGAAAACAGGACTGAAAAGGTATTTCGGCTGGCGCAACCAAAACCTCAAAAGGAAGAAAAATCTCTTCTCAAACAGAAACCGAGTGTATTGTGTTTTATTAATTACTGAGTAAAAGTAATTACACAAGGTGACATACAACTGAAAAAATGAACGAATAAGATTTTACAAAACAAAAACCAGTAAATTAACTAAGACCTAAATTATCGAAATACACACTGTAACTTAATTAATTTTGACAAAAAACGTTATGAAATAAAAGTAATCAAGGCTAAAATGGTTATTGACAACTGCCAGTTTTATCTACAAATCAAAACCAACCCACCTATGCATACGGTGCTTGACAAGTGAACCAGTATATATAAAAATGAGACCCAT